CCACACCCACTTGTTACCGTCTTTCACGGCACCACTCCCCCTTTTCCGTTTCGGCCCGGGGCTCCTGTCTGCCGTTCCCCCTTCCCTCTGGGGACGCCGCCACTACCACTGCTGATGCTGCTGCTGCTGCTGCCGCCAGTGCTCCTCCCCCGCCCTCTCTTACTGTTGCTGGTAATCTGACGGTCTTCCGAGGTTGCGGAGGCAGCACGAAATGAGCCTGCTCCTCGTTGTCGCGTTGTCGCAGTGCTCGTGTGGCCTGATGGGTGCTTCCGCTTATGCTTCTTCTCATCCATGAGCCGTTTTTCGTACAGGCGACCATCGCGGAACGCGTTCCGCATCTTTTCCTCCACTTCTGTCACAAGACTCTCCATGATTTGCCGCCGCTCGTGCACCACTTGCTTATGCACCTGCTCAAGTTGCTCGTAGTGGTCCTTCGCCATCGCCTCTGTGCGCCGCTGCTCCTCGTGGAGCAGGTGCATCAACCGCGCTCTCTCTTGCTCCGTGATGCGGCACCTCTCCTTCATGGCTTCTAACGCACAGCACATCTGCTGCTGTTGCACGCGCCACGCACCGCCACCAGCATCTTCAGCAGTAACAGTGGCGGGAGGCATGGTGTCATCACCCGGCTGCCCCACAGGACTGTTCCCCTCCACAATTGCCGGGAGATCCGTGCTATCAATGAGCACGTCAGGCACCACAACGTTGTTTATTTCCACGCTAGCGCGGTGCAACTGTGTCTCTGTGATCCACACCACCCCAGCATCAAAGGCGATACACATCGGCTGCATCAACATAGCCAGGAGGAGGTTAAGCCGCTGCACCGTCTCCTCAATCTGCAGCTCCTTCAGCGCCTGGTCACACCCCTCTTGCGGTGCTGTCTCCTGGCGTGGGGGTGCGACAACAACGCTAACGCCATGATAGCGACCGCCGTCCTCCTGCAGCTGATCGATCAGCTGCAGCCGGTGGCTCATCTTCGCTTCCTCCAGCCGAAGGCGCTCCACCTCGAGCTGCGAGCTGGACAACGCACTATGCAGGTGCGTATTCTCCGCCTCCAGCGACGTGGCACGGCTCTGTAGCTCATCAACTCGCTCCACAAGCCGGTTACGCTCCTCGCGAAGCCCGCGTAACTCCTCATCCATCGTACGGCTGTGCGCCGTCTCCACCTCGCGCAGCAGGCCAACCTGCGCGAGGGCGCTGTCGAGGCGTTCAATATGTGCCTGCGCCACGGCGGGGTCGAATCGCGCCAGTTCCGCATCCGAAACCATGGCGTGTGGCGTCTTCCGCAGCAAAAGCTCTGCCCGCTGCAGCTGCCCGCTCAGAAAAGTGATGTGCGAAAGGAGTCGCTTGCGGTCGCTGTAATCCGCTGCTGTGATGAGCGGATACTGGACCGCCAATTCCTCAGCACCTTCGCTTATGAGCGGCGACACCGAGTGACCGTCCGCGCCAGCAGCAGCGGGGGGCCTGGGCGGTAGTGCTGGCGGGAATGCGCTGCCGGATGCCGCGCGTCGCCACGAGTTATTCAGCCCGGCCTCATTTGGCACCGCTGTCATTGTTCGTTGTTGCTCGTCCTTTTTTCCCGTTCTACTACTATGCCTCTCACACTGACCTCACACGTACACACCCTATGCCAGATGTATGTGATGCGGGAGAAGCCCACGGGCCTCTATTTCAACTTCACTGCGCAATGCACACGTTCCTCCTAGCGGAAGGGGCGAAAAACAAAAAAAACAAAAATAGCTTGCGCCGCCGCTGTTTTTGCTTCTGCGGCCGCTACCACCACCACAAGAACCAACAAGGAGAGTGGAAAGCAGTATTTTCAATCGGCGCCTCACGGCGGCAAGTTATGCAGAGATGCCTTGGGGGCGAAAGGTTTTAGAGTACACACGTTGCGCAGACAAACCACCACACACACATTCGCCCCTTCACTCCCACTCCCTTAAGGACGCCATGCTTAACAGCACCAGCATTTGGAGTTCTCTTTTTCCACACTTGATCGCCTCTGCGCGATGCCATGCCCCAAGACCTTCGATTCAATCACGTTCAACAAACGTTCCTCGGCATTTTCCATGCCTGCAAACCCCGGAAAGTAATTAACATCCACGAGAACCGGTACGGCACTACAGAGAAAGGATGTGGCTGCACCTGTTACTTCATCAAAGAGAAGCGGCGCGTCACGCCGCGACGCCGCGAGCGATCTTTCCCGCGCGGTGGAGGCAGCGTCAAGGCGGATGCTGCCGTCCCGAGACAAGTTCTCTGGTATCAGCAGCAGGTCAAAGCCGAACAGTGTCAGTTGTAGCTCCTCTGCTAACTCAGCGGCTATTTTCGTGCATTGCGCGTGGGCTCGCCCGCCTTTCGCCAGGTATTTCATCCACTGCGTCGTCTCTCTCTCCCATGTGTCGTCGTCGGGATACTTTTGCTGCGAATCGATGAAAACTGGCCCATTCGTCTGCGCGAGGACGCAGCGCAGCAGCGGCGCCGTCGACACGACCCGCACAAAAGCATCGGTGCCAATACAGTACACCTTTAAAACAACTGGTAGCGCGCACGCGAGGAACTCCTGCACAATAAATGCGTTGAGCTCGGACGGGAGCAGGCGGCACACCTCCTCCGGCAGCGACTCGATTGGCTGCACGCCACGCCAGACGACCATGTGGTGCGCTTGCGGGTCCCCGGTGCTAATGTCCGGCTTTGCGATCCACCACCGCTCCCCCGGCGGCCCGTCCGAGCGGTGCAGCTCCGCCGCGTCTGCTGAGGCGTCGTGCAGCACAAAGGAGGAGAGGCCGAGCGGCGTCATTGGGGCGCCCTGCCGCGCCCAGAGCCACGAGCGTGGCATCGGACACAGCGGCCGCCGCAGCCGCCCGTCGAGCAGCTTGTTCAAGAACGAGCGCCGCAGCACCAGCTGCGTGTGCTCGACGGGGTCGACCACAATGACGGGTGGCAGACCACGACGGCGTCGCTTGCGCGTGGCAACGGCACACCACCGCTCCAGTGCTTCACCCGCCATTGGATGAAGCGTGCTGACTTTATGCAGCACCACATCCACACCCTCCCCGCCCGTCTCCGTTGTCAGTTTGTTCTTATTCCCCTCGTAGCACATCGTCACCACGGCGAATAAGACGCCGTCGCCGTCGCCCTTCTCATCTACATACCTCTTCAGCTTATCGAAGGACTGTTGGTGTTTCTTCTCGGAGCCGCAGACCGCAATGACAATACGTCTGCTGCCCGGCGAGGCGGGCATCCCCTCTCTCTCTCTCTCTCTCACTCGCTCGTTATTTTCCTTTCCCCTTTACCGCGTTTAATTGGAGCGAGACGGATGGGAGAAAACACAACCGAGCAAAGGAAAACCAAAAAAGCACACCGTATAGCACCACACATGGACGCGACTTTGGCCCTTACATCTCTTCTCTTTCTTTATGAGCACTGTGTAGAAAATTTTACCGTTCCGCTCCGGTTCCCCTTTTCACTCTTCGCAAAACACAGACACAACATGTCACATCTCACCACATAACACGATCTTCGGCAGCAGCTGCGGCATGGAATTCCGTTTCGCATGGAAGATAGCCTTCGACAACTCCAGCAGCTGCCGTGCCGCCTCCGCACGTGCCTCCGCGTCCCGGTGCACCATCCTCCCCACGAGAACACCGTCCGGCGGCATCTTTTCCTCAGCGCCGCGCTCCACTGTGTCGATGCGGAACGTCGACGCGACCTTCGCTGCCACCGCAGCGGCAGCAGGGGCGTAGTTCCAGTATTGCATATACAACCCCTGGTGGCGCTCGCAGCGGGACGGCGCATTCCCCACAAGCGCCTGCAGCTCGCTTGGTGGTACCTGCAGTGGCCCCTGCCGCTCGCCGAGGGCGGAAAAGAAGCCGCTGCCACCGCTGTCCATCACATCGCCACCAACGACGTGCTGCCCGACGAACGTGTCATGCAGGACTGTGTCTTTGTAGCCCGCCGGCTGTGGCCGCTGCTCCACCAGCCGTGTCGTGCTGCCAATGCAGAGGCCATGTGCATTTGCCGCCAGCGTGGGCGCCAGGTCCGCGAAGAGCTCAAACAAAAACCGGTACGGATGCTCGCTCTGCCCCGTGCCCGCCACCGCCTTGGGGCACACGATGTCCATGAAGACGACGGGGTTCGACGGATGCGTCAGCGCAATACCGCGGTGCGGCACACCCAGGGGCTCCCGTTGAAGAAGAGGGTTTCCTTGCATCTGCCGCCGCTGCCCCTTGTTACAGAGAAGAGAGAGAGAAATAAGGAACAAAGGAGCAAAAACAACCAAAATAACAACAACAACATAGTTGGATAGCGGAGAGGCAAATTGAGTTTCCTGAAACTTGCCGGGAGAAGCAAAATTCGTTCGCTCTCCTCCGCAGCGTTTGCCACTCCACTGAACGGATACCGTAGGGTAATATTACATCTGCGACATCGCTGCCAGCAGTTCCTGTCGACTCACGTGCCTCACGTCGTAGCACTCCACCTGGCGCAGACGATACCACTCGTCAAAGGCACAGAGCACTTCCGATAGGTCACGCCTGCCGCGGACCCGCTCAAAGATGCGAACAATGTCGAACGGGTCCTCTGACCTACCCTCCAGACGCCCACTTCCCTGTTGCTGTCCTTCTTCCTTTCCTCCTCCTCCCTCCTTCTCCTCCTCCTCTTCCACCAAGGAGAAAACACGTGGGGTGTAAAGGGAGGCACCGCGACGAAGCGCAAGGTCGCAGAGGAACATCCGCATTTCCATTGGGAGTGCCTCCGAAAGCGGCCGCGTCACGGCGTAGCGGGCCTCCGTGTAAGGGTCCTGTAGCACTTCACGGAGATCGTTCATGGCCGCCACACACATCTTGACACGCTGCGGGGATTCACCAGACAACTGGTCTGCCGCCGACAGCGCCGCCTGGCCAGCCACGTTTTTCCTTTCTTCGCGCTCTTCTGTTTCCCCCCCCTCCTCCTCCTCCTCGACAACCTGCTGCTTCTCCTTGTACCTTACATAGCTGTCGGCCCACGCCTTGGCCTGCGCTGGGCGGTTGTACGCAAAGTACCGCACCTGCGCCAGCAGCGCCGGCAGCACTCGCTGCCGCCCCTCCAGCAGCCGGTTCAGCACATCCGCCCGCACCTGGCGCAGGTGCTCCTCCACATGCCCCATCGATGGCATATCCACCATGCTGCGCTGCGAGATGCCGGCGACGATGCGGTCGTACACGGGGCGCATCTCTTTTTCGAGACGCCGCTCGCGGTAAGAGGGGCACGAACCCAGCCGGTCCGCCACCAGTGACTCGTACTCGCCGCGCATCTCCTTCAGCTTCGCCACGTACATCTCGTTCATTGCGCCGCGTGCGGCCACCAGCTCCTCTAAAATAAACGGATTGGCACGCAGCCCACCAAGGAGTGCATCCACCGCCCGCACCGACATCATGACGTCCGTCGGGTACACGCGCCCGGTGCTTGTAGCCGCGGACGGTGGCACGGCGACCGCTGTGGCGCGGATGCACGGAAGAATCGCGGCGCCAAGATCGACCGCCAGTAGTGCTGCTGCGCGACCAACGTACTGGTACGCCTGCAGGTAGTCCTCCATATACTCGTTGAGGTTATCCACCAGCGGTAGCAGGCTCGAGTCAGCGTCGTACAGAGGCACCCCATCGCGGTCGTGCTTGGGTAGATAAAATAGGTCCTCGTCCTTTGCTGCCGCGTTGAGAGAGTCGAGCACCGGCATCGCCGCCATCTTCTCTGCTGCGATCGCGGCGTCCTCCTCCTGCTGCAGCTCCGCGTTGCGCTGGTTGGCTTCTCGGAGCTTCTGCGCCATCGTCGCTGGGAAGTCGTCGTAGTTGACGTGCACCACCAGCTTCGGGCAGAGACGCAGCGCCACCAGCAGCCGGCGACCAGACATGACGAACACATCGCTGCACTCACCGCGCAGGTCGACGCAGCGAAGATGCGGGTGCTCCACCGCGACGTCGGCTAACGCCTGCACCGACTTCAACCCCGCCCCGCAGCCGCGCAGGTCTACGGCACGCACCCAGCGCATAATAGCAACCGTGCGAAGGATCGCTGCCGCCCCCGTGTCGCTTAAGTAGTTGTCTCGGAAGTCTAAAAGTGTCGGACAATCCTCCGACGTGTCGAGGGCTCGGCAGAACTCGACGAAGCGCGAGTTCGTCAAGCAGCCCTCCCGCTCGCACGCCAGACAGTAGAGGGTCGATATGCCGCGCATACTACAGGACGCAGAGAGTCTCAAAAAGAAAAAAAAAGGCCACACCCTATCAGAAGCAGAAGTAGTGCCGGCTTTTAACAGCTGGCATTGCGAGAACCAGACACAGAAGAGGAAGATCAAAAAAAAAAAAACAAAAAAACAAACAAACACCCAAACACAGGAAGGACGGGCAATGAGAAAGCGAAAAACAGCTCCCCATGTGTGGCCCGCGACCTTGGTGGCACCTACACAACTATGAAAGATGATGATACTCATAGTAGTAATAAACGAGTGAGAAAGGCATTACTCTCTCTTCTCTCACTATATCACCGCCGCGGCCGAGGCTCCCTAACCCGCGCGCCACGCTCCAACGCCCCCAGCACACGCTGGTCAAGCGCACGTATGACGCTCAGCACCTCCGACGCGAAACCGTTCCCCGTCTGACTCTCCTGCGCGACACTACTGTTGAGCGTGTCACGGTGCAGGGAACGTTGGAGGTCTTCCTCGAGTCTCCAGCCGTCCTGCACCACTTGGGGGGAAGGCTGCGGGACCGGGTACGTGCGGCTGCTCCGCCCTGCGTCAGTCTCCCGCAGATGCCCGGGCGAATACGACAAAGCACGCGCCGACGGCTCCCGGGGGGCGAGGACACTCTCACGACTTCGGCCCGGCAGGCGCTCTGCTGTAGCAACAGCGACACCAACAGCAGGAGGAGCAGGCCCATTCGATGATGGTGCTGCTGCCGCGGGAGTCGGCCACTCAAGCGCGACGGACGCCTGTTCAGCGTGGCGCGGTGGCAAATGCAGCAGCCGCTGTGGAATACCAAATGTTTGTCGCGATTCCTGCGACGGCATCCACTGCTTCTGCTGGTACTGTTGCTGTAGCGCATACAATCCGCTAGCCAGTCGTCGCCAAAGCGGTTCTTTTGCGTCGTGTAGTGGTCGCAATGCTGACGGGACAGTTACAAACGTTAGAAGAACATCTATGAAGCCGCGCAGTGTCAGGGACTGCGTGGCCACCACACCCAGCGCATTGTAATTCGTCTTTCGGGACATGTGGGGCAGTTGCAGCTCCTCCTCTGCCACAAAGATGATGTCATCCCCCGCGTTCCCTTCCCTTTCCGCCTCCGCCACGCTGTCGGCCTCAATCGGCGGAAGCTGTATGAGACCACCGCGCACCAGACAGCACGTCTCCGCCGGAAGCCGAATTCGGCCGCTGCCGCGTTGTCCCCCTAAAATAACACCGCTGCGACGCCACGCCGTTTTGCGAAGCGCTGAGAGGCGGCGAGCGGCCAACACCGCCACAACAGTTCTGCGGAAGCGTAGCAACGGCAACGGGGTGGGCGATCCACCGCACGTGCTCAATGCGCCGAACATCCGCTCATACGCCAGAATGTAACGCGTCAGTGCTGTTCGCTGCTGCGCCATTTCATGCACGTCCGCCATGGCACCGGAGAGAACACGCAGCGTGAGGACAAGCGCCTCGAATAGCGACAGATGCCCGCTACTGTTTCCACGCACAGCGCTCAGCATCTTCAGCTCGAGCCGAAGCGCATCGTTGCAGCGTCGCAGCTCCTCCTCCCGCTGTTTACCCTCCTGCAACGCCTTGGCCTGCTCCGCCGTCAGCGGAGCCAGCTCACTCTCCATGTACTGCAGCACACCATGGTACTTTGCCTTTAAAGCCTCGTGCTCGCGTCGCAGCTCCGTCAATGATACGCTGGTATTCACATCAGTACCCCCACCAACACCCACGGCGGTCGTTGCAGCCGCAATTCGCTTGAAGCGCTCGCACTCGTGTCGCGTCTGCTCAATTTGCTGTTGCTGTGCATCAGTGTCACGTTGGTGTGAATCCATGATGCGGTCAACCTCCTCCTCCTTTCGCACCACGTACGCTTCGTGGGCGCGACGGCTCTCCTCAACGGCATTTCGCAGCTGCCGCACCTCCTGCACAAGATCTGCGATGTGCTGCTCAATCACACACCAGTCGTCCATGCAATGCAGCATAAGTGCGGCTTTGCGTCGCGTCTCTGCTGCTTGCGTGGCTTCCTGCTCGCGTGCCCGCCGCATGCTATCCAGCGTCTCCGTCACCTGCGCCCGCTGGGCCTCGCTGCGGAAGAGCTGCTCCCGCACACCATCGCCGTCGCTCCCCACGTGGCGTAGCTCGTCCTTCAGCGCCGTGATGTGCGACTCAAGAACACGGCGGTCGTGCTGCATGGCCTCCCGCTCGTCCCGCTGCAGCTGCAGCTGGTGACGTAGGCGTCGCAGCGCGGCATAGACGGGGCTCAGGGGACGACCACCGGACTTGGGGCGTGGCGCGTCCGGCGTAACGGCGCCCTCCACGTCGGATGTGTTGAGGCCGTCGTCGACCGCCAGAGCGGCATCAGGGTCGCCGTCGTCCTCGTCCTCCGTCAGTAGCAACAGGTCACGTTGCTGATCCAACGGCGCGGCGGCATGGCCGTCCACCAGACCGTCAAGTACAACTGCTATGCGTCGCGCCTCTTCCTCCAAGTCGCGTAGTCTTCCTTCGCCCAGCCTCCTATGCCGCTCCTCGGCGCTCGCGCCGGCCGCCTGCTGCTGCTCCAATGCGGCAAGCTGTGTGACCATTGCGCTCATCAGCACCTCCTGCGCAGCTCGCTCCTTCTTCTCATTGTCAAGGGACTCGCGCAGAGTCTTGTTTGCCGCCTCCTTCACGTGTACCGTCTTTTCGAGGGTGGACATGCTGCGCCACAACTCGCTCACCTTCGCCTCAAGCTCGTCTCTCTCCGCCGTGACGGTGCAGAGCTGCAGCGAGACGCCGCTGTGGTCCCTCTTCTGCTGGTCGAGGAGGTCCTTCGCGCGCCGAAGACGGTCCTTCACATCTTCTAGCTCCGCACTAAGACTCTGCCGCGCGCTTCTCTCTGCATACAACTGGCGCTTCAGCTCCTCGAGCTGATCCTGCATCTGCGACTGCCTAGCCTTGAGCCGCAGATTGTCCTCCGTGAGCTGGGCGACCCGCTCCCGCCGCGGCTCCTCTGCTTCCCTCGCCTCGTCGTCCAAGACGGGATGCTGCTTGCCGTTGCTAGCGCCGTCGTGCAGTGGCGACGCCTCCGCCATGTGCGCTTGCTTCTACCTGTTCCGTGCTGCTGCTGCTGGGCACGAGCGGGTCTCTCCTCCTTCACTGGCCCCCCGCCCAACCGCAAAAACAATCGCCGCGTGGGGGAGAGAGAAAAAGATGACGCATATAGGTAAAGAGCAAAAAAAAANGAGGAATGAGGAAAGAAACACCTCGAATGACTTATTGGGCAGTGCCACAAGAGATTCCTGCCTCTATACTTGAAAATTATTGTTTTTTTTTTCCTTTGTTCCTTTGGCCCAGAACCCTTCGCTTCGAGGTTAACAAACAAAAAGAAGCCGATCCCTCCACTTCACGCCAACAGGGTGCCTGCAGCCTTCTCCTTGCTTGCCTCTCTTTGCGCAGCGACTGCCTCCAGCTCCTTCAGCACTGTATGCACTTTACCCAGCGTCTCGTTGGCGGCATAGATTGCGTCGATACCACGACGGTGCAGCACCGCATCGCGCACAGTGTTCTGTGCATGTGCCAGATCCTGTGCCATCTCCTGCTGCTTCTGCGTCAGACATGCGACACGGTCGGCTAGTCGCCCCTCCCGCTCCTGCATGGACTCATGGCGTTTCCGCATNATCTCCTGCTGCTTCTGCGTCAGACATGCGACACGGTCGGCTAGTCGCCCCTCCCGCTCCTGCATGGACTCATGGCGTTTCCGCATCGCAGCATGTGTGTCCTGCACGCGTTGCGCCAACGCGGCGGTGCTGATGTCGATGGTGTCGTGCGGGTACCCACAGATCCACTGCTGATAGCACTCCGCTGTGAGCTCGAGCAGCCGCTCCAAGTTGTTGTGCCGTGCGCCGTCAACGACGCTCTTGTCATCTGCTGTTGCTACTGAAGTGCCGGTGGCGTCGTACGTAAGACTGTACCGCTCCCCGCGTGCGTAGATCGCGGCGAGCAAGAGGCTGGCAACCTTCACCACGACCAACTTGGAGCGTGCGCACGGCTGCGCTTGTGTGGCGACCTCCGGGACAATGACGATGTCGTTGACGCCGACAGCGACACTTGCGTCGGTGACGTCATACGGCAGCCGCAGCGCCAACGGCTCGGGAATAGCGGCGCTGCGGCCAACAACAGGTACCCGCTGGCAGCCTTCCGCACCCACATCGCGATACACCCACGCCGCCGCGCGCCGCGACCACACGGCCCACACGCAAACATAGGCCGCATCGCCGTATCGGATCAGAGTTGTGTTGCCACACGTCTGCACGCTGACGAGACGCGACACATGCGAGCTGGTCAGCTCCTGCTGCCGCAGTGCAGCATCAAGATGAATGGTGACCTCCATCCGCGGCCGCATGAGGTCGCGGCAGAGAAGGTCTGGCTCGCTGAACCAGCTGCCGCGAACCACCCCGCTGCTCCAGACAACAATTACGACGTGGCGGCCGACGTCTTCGTCCAGCAGCGCCGTTCCAATGGCGAGTGGCGCCTCATCGTAGCCGACCGCCGCGGCCCCGCCCCGCACCAGATAGTGCACACACGGGTGCGGGCCAACGTCGCGGTGCGGCACCGGCTCCTCGCCCCAAATCGTGTCGACACGGCCGTCGTATTCCTTTGCGAGCGACGCTGGCATTCCCTCAGCGTCCAGCTTCAGAGAGAAGATGTCACCGCTGCGGCACAACACCAGCAGCATCACCGGTAGGCTGCGCGACGCGGGAATGACGCACATGCCAATCAACGCGTCTTCGCTTTCGTCCGGCGCGCCTCTGGCTGTGTGTGCCGCCCCCTCGAGGGCTGCCATTGACGCCTCGCCATCGGTTGCTTTTGCCGACGCCCTCGTTCCCTCCCCCTGCCGCTCTTGCCCCTCACCCCACTTTTGGCTTCCCTCCTGCCTCTGTGCAGAGGGGGGCGAAGCCGACGGGCTGCCAGTCGACCCCTCAGGCGACACCGAACAGTTGCTCCCGCTCCTGGTTGCCACTTCTGCTGTGGCGGCTGCTTCCTCTTCAGGGCCGCCATTCTCAACCGCTGTCGCAGCGGCTTCTTCCTTGACAGCGAGTGGCGCCTCGCTCGGCTTCAACGTTTCGCGCTTGCGACCGCGTGGGTCCTCCAGCTGCGCCGTGAGTGAGTCGCCAGCACCGCCTGTGACGACGTAATCCTTGAACTCCGCGATAATATTCTTCAGGTGCACCTCCCGCCTGTCCTTGAACACTACACGCATCGATGGGGTGTCGACGCGAAGGACGAGGAGAATCCCTGTCGCCTGCAGCAGCAACAGAGATGTAGTGTTAGTCGGGTGCCACGCCACACTGACAACTTCCACGCGCGTTGTGAACTCGCAGACACGACCACTCATGATTTCGACGAGATAATGCCTGCACCTTCCACTGCTGATGGCGGCAACGAACTTACCGTCGACGGAGGGATGAAGACTGTGCTGGATGCTGTGGGAGGCAACAAGCCCATCACGCTTTGCCGCTGCTGCTTCCCCCGACGACGTCTGCTGCTCCGAAGTTGATGATGCTGCGCCGCCCAGAGACGTAACTTCACTGCACGGGAAGAAATGCACGCGTCGCGCCAGCGGGTAGGGAGTGACGCATCCCTCTGTTAGTTTGCTTGTCACCAGATACATATTCTCGGTGTCGTCCCGCGTANGCGTCGCGCCAGCGGGTAGGGAGTGACGCATCCCTCTGTTAGTTTGCTTGTCACCAGATACATATTCTCGGTGTCGTCCCGCGTAGCGGCGACAAACGTGTCATTCCTCAAATGCCCCACACCGTTGGATCGCATGATACCTTTCGCTCTATGAGTCCCTTCGCCTTATCGCGCGGCTCCGTCCCGCCCTCTCTGCAGTTGTGCACCTGCTTCACTTTTTCCCAACCCTTCAGGGCAGCAGCATCAGAAGCGAGAGAGGGACCACGGAGATAGAGAGAGAGGAGAGAGAAATAGAAACATCTGGCGATGTGACG